TTGGCTTATCAGAATCTGTAGTACAATACTTTGGAGGCTTTTTTATTGTACGTCCTCGTCGATTACATTTTGAACCTTTATTGTCCGACATTTTTTATGACACTGTGGATCAGTACATATATGTATATATTTATAGTTCTTTTTTTATCTTGTAGTGGAAAAACATTGAATAGTTATGAGGTACAAAAAATAAATTATATTGGAGGATTTATACATTGACAGATTATAAATTTAAAATTTGTTATGCGAATATGATCAAACATCTACGTTATATATAAATTGGCTTTACAATATGAAACTAATTAATATAATGTAAGAGAGTAGAAACAATATATTCATCATTATTTTTTTCTGATTTTTTTGTTGAAGAGAATGATCCTGACCAACTTGGCATACTATAGCACTTCGCAGTTACATAATTTGTGCTGATTAATTGTAAGTCTTTTGATAACTCTTTGCATTTATAAACTCCGACAGTTGAAGACTGAATTGGCAATTCATAAAAATTTGTAACATTTTGAAAACTTTGTACTACAAAGAAAACATTTTTATTTTGAGTCAAAATATTTCTAATTCTGCAAATAGAGTTATCCCGAATCTTGCAAAAGCTATTGCAATCATCTAATGCAAAATTAAATTCATTTGACTGATAATTTTTGTATTGTATGACATTTGTATTTTCCATATATTCAGGAATGGGACCATTTGAGTGTTTTGCTGAAAGGCGATGATTCTCAAGATTACGTTCAGGTACATGTTGTATATAATTTTTTTCTCGTAATCGATTTGCGAATTGCTCAAGTGGACGTGGATGATTTCTTATATTTTTTTTAAAAAACGGCATATTATTTTCATAAACGAATGCTGAACAATTTTCTAGATGTCCTAATTCCTTTACGTCATCAACTAAATGTTGTAATCCATGAACATTGTAACTTACAAAGGTCGCTGTATAAAGATGTTCCGCATATTTAACAAATCTTTGTAGGCATTTTTCAGCCGTTTTTAATTGCCTTTTCGATTTCGAACATTTAATTGATGTGACTATTCTCATGGCTACATTAAGTAATAACAAATGTAAGTAAAATTCGTCAGATAGAATTCCGAACGAAATAATTGGTGCTGCATATAAAAGGAAATGTCTTAACTCAGTTGCTTTAAATTTAGAGAATTTTGCGAGAGATCTAGGGCGACGAGCAAATTCGTTTGGACAAAACTTGTTTAACTCTTCATATCGTGAAGACATTTCATTAAGCGCTGAGCTAGGTAGTTTCGCTGCATATCCAAATTTGCCATCATACCACGCACTTAATAGCCTCGAAGCAACACCAGCGTATACCAGATGCATAATTTCAAAAGGCACCCTTGTGACAATCGGTATTCCAAGATCCTGTAATGGACTTTTTCCTTTTTGATGGTCCTCATCCAAACAAGATATATATTGTTCATTTGTTCGTTTTTCGTGATTGATGCCCAAGTAAACCATTCGATTCTCATGTCGGAAACCATTAACTTTGCATTTAGAGCACGGATTACCGGAATTGTGTCCATAATGATTTAAAACTAAAGCTCTCGCCGGAGCGTCTGCTACAAAATTTTTAAACACTATAGGAATACGACGATTATGTATTAGTATTCCTCCTAGTCTATTAGCTGATTTCACCTCATCAACAAGATTTTCAAAAAACTTATGTACATCGCAAGGTTTCTCAAGTCCTTTATACACACCTATAATCACCGGCTTGAAATAAGGAATATTAATGACCCTATATTGTAAAGGCCAATATTGCATAGGATTGTTTCTACTCAATGATAAACCGTCAGTGCTCAGTTCTATTTCTAGAACAGGCGGAATTTCATCTGCATCGTAAAACGAAAGGTGCTTTTCTAACAGTTTTACAAAACCAATATGCCAATATACACCTGAGCCAATTGGTACAAAGTTAATGCGATCACGACTTGTTTGTAAAAAACTTCTGCTATCTTTTGGCAAATTTTGAAAACATTTATGCATACGAAGTACTCTTAAAATTGCTGTAGTCTGAACATGATTTATATTCATGTCCAGGCAGCATTGTCGTAAACAGTTTTGAAAACAATCTATTTCGACATTTTGGTGTTGCGAACAAAGTTGCGAATCTTCGTGTACTATTTCTTCTACTACATCATCATGAGCACTTGGCGTTTGTGATGGAAAGTCCAAAGACGTTTCTTCAGTTTCACTACTTCTCAAATTCTGTTCACATGAATAAGTTAAGGAATTATTACTTCTATTTTGATCTTTTAAGTGTGTTTTACCCGCAGAAAGATGGAATGCTCTACGAAGGCGTAAACGATTATATTGTTGACGACTTGATAAATTCTTAAAAACTTTGCGAGTCGTCCAATTCATGTTTCCTTTGATTTCAATTGAGACTTACTTGCCCATTCAATTTCACTCAAGTGCAGTACTGAAATAAAAAAGAAATTAAGACTAAGTGAAAAACATAATAAAGCAAAGTCCAATCACTGACATAATAAAAATTCGAATAGGATAAGCTACTATTTTATTTAACAATGTATAAATAAGTTAATGTTTATCAATAAACGAAAAATCTTAACGTTAGAGTTCTTCAAAAGAAAAAAAAACATCTGATTACTAATGACTTAAGGGGGTGCCAAAGTGCACATTTTAAGCTGAATTTCAAATTGAATATCTACAGTTCATAAAATAGTGGTAAAACAAAACACGTATATTAATCATTTTTAATTATTTATAAATTTTCAAGAATCTGAAATTAAAAATTAGAAAATATCAATATTTCTTTTTAACTGAGGTACTGCAGGTAAGTGTTATTTGTGTAATCATTCATTATCTTCCTTAAATAAATATTTGATAGCAAAAATTTCTCAAAACAAAATCGCACTCCTAATATATTATGTGTGAGCGTATACGTCAAAATAAGCAAACCAACCAAGTTATTTTTGTTGGTTTTATCAATAATTTTTTCCATGCATATTTCAAAAATTTTTATTACTACCGTACATAATACTTTAATTCATATTCAAAAACATTTTCTTTACACTACGACTTTTAAATTACTTTTTAACAAGTTATTTATAGCCGGTTTTTCTCTATTTTTTAAAATTGAAATGCAAGAGTTATTAAAAAACTACTGATAAAAAATTTGCCAACACAGTTGTAAGTTACATATTGAAAATATTAATTAATAATTGTATAAAAATCTGTCGATGAAAGCTGCTTATTTATATGTGTAAGTGAATGATAAAAAAGAAATAATACCACACATTATATAGACTTATATTAATACTTGTCATCACTTCTGTAATAAAATTGTCTTATATATATATATATATAGTACTAACGCACACAAGCTTAATGTTATTAATCGCAGTATTCATTATTAAAAAATAAAACTTCATAGATATATTTATACATATACCTACATATACTGAAAATCATTATAATTGCATATAAAAATCTGTCAATGTATATGCTGCTTTTGATATAATTTATATTTCTATGAAATATATAAGCTTATTTCTTTGTAATTGAATAATAAGAAATAATACTGTACACTATACCTTATACTAATACCAATCAATGAAGTATATAACAATACTGACATTCCAGCATGTATTATTGACAAGATATAACAACTAGGCCATTGTGATGGTTGTATCAAAAAGGATTATATAAAATGTTATAGGTTATGTGTCCAACATGCTATTTAATGAAGAGATATAATAATTACCAGTAGTTATATGATTTCCAACAAATTCTTGAATATGGCGAAGGAAATACTGGCACAATATACTGGTATAATAATTAAACAACACCGCACCGTTGTTACTTGTTACTTAGTTGTCCCGCCTATTCGATCCTTTACTCGGCCTGGCAGTTTTGGACTTCGTATCTGGAAATGTAACAAAATTTAATGACCAATTTGATCAGTTATTGGCCTAGTTTACACCGATCTCTTGATACGCTTATCAAATAGTAAACATCGCTCAACGATAGAATGCTGGAGGAAAGTCTAACGCGAATACCTCCAAATGTACATCTCCATGGAAATATTGCGACACTCGCAGGCATCATACCTATATGTAAATCGTACCTTGCGTAACTCCTCTCTCTCTCTCTCTCTCTCTCTCTCTCTCTCTCGTCTGTTACTTTCCGCGAGGACAGGTATACGACTACATAAATCGCGTCATGTTCCGAGGATCATCGTTCGCCGGATCTTCGCGCCCTTCCCGGCGATGTCACGATAACGCGATACCGAGATACCATTGCACGTCGTAATCACGTTACATATGGGCTGTATTCGGGGAGCGCGCTATTAGCGCTATTTGCTTATTCTATCCTTGTTTTACATCTGATGAGCGATAAAGACAGAATAATGCAATAGCGCTATAGCGCGCTCCTCGAATGCAGCCCAAGAAGGGAAGTCGGTCGTCGACTGCAATGATAAGCCGCGCGACTACAAACTATAGTATATTTTAACTGATCAATCAATAATCAAACTAAATTTACTAGTTATTTACTATTTAATACGCGTATTAAGTGATCGGTATAAACTATAGGCCATTGTGATGGTTGTATCAAAAAAGATTATATAAAATCTTATAGGTTATATATCCAACATGCTATTTAATGAAGAGATATAATAATTACCAACAGTTATGATTTCCAACAAATTCTTGAATATAGCGAAAGAAATGGCACAATATACTGGTATAATAATTAAACAACACTGCACCGTTGTTATTTGTTACTGTGGTTGTCCCGCCGGTCCCGCCTATTCGATCCTCTACTCGGCCTGGCAGTAATGATACTGATAGACGAGCCACGAGCCGCGCCCGCGAGCCGCGAGCGGGACGAGCCCGCTTTTTTTCGCGCATGTGCGTCAAATGCGGCGCTCGCTATAGTATAATAGTTTAACCAATCACAGTCTATTGTTCTCCTTGCGGTCGAAGAATCCCTGGTAACACAATACAGTCTAAAATTGCGACAGAAGTGCATAATATCTCTGATTGAACGAGTACTTACTGCACTTTTGCAGCAGTCTGCTAAGAAGCTAAATAGTACAAAATTTCACACGCGGCCTGTGCGTCTATTGTAAATAAGGCCCGGTTTCACCAACGTGATTTAATCTAATCGGTCGATTAAACTCACTCTTCGTCTCTTTCCAACTGTTCCCCTTAGAAAGAAATTAAGAGTGAGTTTAATCGACTGATTAGATTAAATCACGTTGGTGAAACCGGGCCTAAGGCTAAGGCCGGTATTATATAGGCCGGTATTCATAATCAGATCTTATTTCAAGACCGTCTTAAGTAATATCTTAAGATGCTATAATACGGCTCTGTGATTGGTTAATGACGTCTTAAGATTGTACTTAAAATGGTCTTAAATATAAGAACCGACTATGAATACCGGCCATAGACCGCTGTTACACGGCGCCGTTAATCGGGTTTAATAACATAACATAAAATAGTAATTTTAATATTTTTAAAAAACAATGAATAATATTATGTTTCCTAAACGTATGTAATGTTTTATAACTGTTTAGAAAACGTATATAAAATCAACATGTGATACTTATTAAAATAACTGATATCATATATTTATACGAAATAATTTTTTTATTTGTAAATTATAATTTCACATGATAATTTATAACAAGAGGGTAGTTTATACTTAGCGTTACGAATACTTTATTAAAATTTGATTCATGAATCAAGACGAAGAAATCTGCGCTTCGTAACATTTTATTTATCAATCAAATATTTTTCAAAATTTGTAACGCCAAAATGGACCGCAGCCTACATCTCACAGCACGAAGCTATAACAGTTTCACAATCTCCACTTAACTTACAGTAATTATTTCTATAAATATTTATAACATAAATTAAAAATAACTTTAATAATATTCATGATAATTATTTACACTTTATTTTAAAATATTTATTATAATCTTTTAGATATTTTTATTTTCCGGACATTATAATATTTACAAAATATTCAACGTATATATTTTCAAAATATTTAATCTTTTTTATAAATATTTTATAAATATTTTATAAATATTTTGTGCTGTTTGGGAGTTTAACGCGCTCGGCTGTTTTTTTTCTGACGGGCAGATGCTTACACGCTTTTTTCGCATTTCTG